AACTCGAGCATCATTATAGTACTGTGCATGGGCGTGGTGCTGTACATTTTCGACAGCAACCGTCGCTCCGGGACTTCACGCCACATGATACAGTGTCTAGCTCAAGTGCACCATCGATTCACCATAACAACGCGCCGCGCTATTGCTGAACATGTTGCGACGGCACCATGTTCCGGTATTCGCTTGCAATTTACGGTACGCATACACCCCGATGTTGAGCCTGACAAACAGATGTTTGTAACGGCGCACAACCGCCACAAATCGGCATTTCAAAATTAAAATATTTTTATCTGGCGTGTCTTCTCGACGCGACGCACCGTGTGGGTGGGTGGTTTATGGCAGTAAATCGATAAAACACATTCGATTCTGTGTTGTCGCACCAGTCGTCCGCTAATACTACCCAGCACACAGGCCCTGCGCAGATTTCAGTGTAAAGGAGGACGTTCAAAAGTCCCATCGTGACGTCAAACGCCATCTCGCGTAGCTGCACGATTGTTGAGCACGTCGCTATGTACAAGCACCGTAGCAATGGTAAACCGCAACCGTAGTGTCCCCGTCCAGTGCATCGTTGTGGATTCCAGGCCACGAGTGATCTATGTATGATGAAGTGCCTGGTCCAAGGATAATATATTGAGCTTGGGTTGAGTTGTATTTTAAATAAGAGCAGTCTCGCAGCGTTTCGGAGTCAGTCCAACAGTGATGTTTCAAGCGAGTGGACTGATGAGCACCTTTGACTTGCGCTGACGCTCGCATCCAATTCACTCACCGACATATTTTTCCCACAGAAAAGTATACGTCGAAGAAAGGCACTGCCCTCGTCGTTATTGATAACCATTAGAGTAAGTCTCTACTATAGAGTCTGCGCTGGCTGTGTTCGCATCATGTTGGTACAAGTACTGGTACAGAACCGGGTGAATCTGCACCCAACGACGCCACTAACAATCACAAAGCAACCATGCGCGGTTGTGGGCGCGCGTCCGACTTGAACGTGAGTGGGACGCATTTCGTGTCTTGCGCTCCTCGTTGCCACGGTGGTATAGGTAGAAGGCGCCGACAGGCGCGGGTGATGGATGCGCCATCGACACGTCCGCATCAGTGACGGAAGTGGGTCAGGAGAGCTGTCAAGAGCATGCGCTCATTGGGTACATGGGTGTCTTGACCCCGAGAAACCTCGTCGTCGGTCTGGTCTGTACCAAGTGTGAGGTAGGAAGCTAATGAAAGCTGAGCGATGCTACAAGTAGCTATCTGCGACCAGGTCGTTAGTGATTAGTATGGTAACGTGGGAAGCAATCAACCATCTTGCGCTGGGGCGCTGGGGCTTGCACGACGAAACGCAATGCTAGCAAGGTGAACACGATCTCTGGGCTCACTAAGCGGCTCTGTTTGATTGGCTAAAACAATGGATTACGATTCTTGATTGGCCAGCTACTGCGTGGAGTGCCACATCGTAGCAACACCGATGTCGCTTGCAAGCCACGCAAAGAACTTTAAATACATGCAACTCTCTGGGCTGCGTGATTGCCGCATCCATTGCGTCCAACACTACCCCGTACGTACGAGCGTCTCGCGACCCGAACACAGAGCAGAAATTCCGATGCCCGTGGCACCACTGGCGGCACCGGCTTCTGAATAAGCATGTTCAAGGGACCATAGAAATAATATGTGCTTGAGTCGAGCGTACAGGCCTGGTGTCGTTGTTGATGGTACTTGCGCGGGACCGCACTCGGCGTTCTTTATCAGGCACAGCAGTTATCAGTGATCCCCAACGACCGCATTGTGACCATAACGCTGTCGCGTCAACCGGACGCGCTTGAAGTTGCACGCCATCGGGCAGGATTGAGGTCAACGGACCTTCATTGAGTGCTGGATTTACGATTCGCAGGCGTCGGGCCTCGCGAAATCGTAGCAGCGGCAGTCCATTCGTCCCGGCTTGCATAATACTTACTACGAGTCACGTTACTTGGGTCTCGTGCAGATCCAAGCATGATCAAGGGTCACCTAGGATCATGCTTGGCTCCTTCTCGGTCGCCGCCGCCTTGATGTCAGCTCCAGTACCACGGTTTCGTCGACAGAAACGTCGCCCAGTCGGTACTTAGTCTCGCAGGCTCCGAGACTAATCGCGGTTGATGCGACAGCCTGGTCGGCCGCCGCAGGCGACGACTGAAGCCCACCGGTGTCCGCTTCAATCCCAACGTGTCCACCGCGTGGCCTTGTGCAACGACGCACACGTTACTCACGACCACCGCACCCATGGATTGACGCTGGATGGCCTCTTCGCCAGACAGCGTGAGCTCACGGTACACACCCCGCGTCACCGACGTCTGAAGAACCTGTGTACAGACTAAACCCTGATTTGGCTCGTGTCGCGCTCGTCCATCATGCCCGATGCACCCTGACTGGCACGACCCTGTGCTGCCTCCCATTCTATATCGCGCCGTTTCGTCAACCTCGGAGCAGATCTGAGTCGCGACCCTGGAAGCCAGATGGCGCGACTGCAAGTATCCTTTCATCTTCGTCGTGATGATAGACAGTTCCTGCCATGTGTTGCGCGCGCCTTCAACCCGCCAGTGGCAAACCAAACCAAATGCGTGACCGCCACCAAGTTTCATCTTTCAATTGTCTGCGTCGCACACAAGCACACGATGGTCATGTCGACGCCTGCCGCACTCCCGACGCCTGCCGTTGTCCCGACGCCGACAAGCGATCCGACGGTCGCCTTTGCCTCGATCAACGACGTCGACGACGACAACCACATCCAAGTGTCCCGCAAGTCGTCGCGCCTCCGCCTCATCATCGGCGCCATCGTCTTTTGCGGCGTCGTTTGTGCATCTGTCGGCGCCTACTACATCTACG